GCGTCCCTGAGCCGCTGGCAGTCCTGGCCCGCCACACACGGCTCCAGAGATGCTGCCTAAGCAAAAACACAGCAGCCCCCACCTCAGAACAAGGCCCACTCCTGCCTCCATGCCCCGCCCCCCACCACCAAGGGCTCCACCACTCCACCTCGTGTCTAGCAGAGTTCATTGGCTCTGCAGCAACCCAACTGCTGGGGGATTGTTGAGGGAGAGGGTTGGTGACGGACTCGTCGCTTTGGAATGCCACAGCTGGAGCAGGCAGGGGAACATGTGGCCCTTTGTGGGACACTCCTGGCTGGCCAGCATTAAGCCTGGGCAGGCTGGTCCCATCCCAAGCATTGCCAGCATACACTGGAACATGGTCAGGGATGGAGCAGCCTCCTGCCAAACACTTCCAGCCCAGCCTCCAGGTGAGTACAGGAATCACCTGTATTCAAATATACTAATCAGCAGTCACAGCAGGAGTTTCACCCGGTGAGAAGCTGGTCACAGCAGGTGTGTACAAGGGGACTTTACCATGCCCTCATGGTTGATTTTTGCTGCGCTCAGACTTTATTCTTGAGAATGAAATGTAGTTTTGTGCCTCTCGTTCTTGTCATGCTTAATTGGGCAAAGCGCTCCCGGTCCAGACCCGTCAAGTCCCTCACCCTCAACTGGCTGCAAGGAAGGGACTAAGACTGTGGGCTTCGGGGAGCACAAAAGCCTCCCCCACAGGATCGACTCCGCCAGCATTGGGCTCCTTTTCGTTGGGACCCTCCTGGGAGGAGGGGAAGCAATCAGAACCGACTCTAAGCCGTGCAAGGAGACTGAGGATCCTAGCTGTTCAACGACTGGCTGGTGAGTAATTGTGCACTCTGCCCACAGAGGGTCGGGAGAGCTCTGAGAGTAACTGGAGGGCAGTTGGTAGAGCTGCTGGAGCAGTTTGGTGCAGCTGGGGAAAGCTGTGCCCGGAGGAGCGGGACGGACCCTCCATAAGTCCGAGCCTGGCAAGAAGCTAAACTGTTGGCAGGATGGGTCAGGGTCTCAGTCAGCTGAAAGGAGGGACACCTCTGGCTCCAGTGCACCAGGGATTCAAGGACCTGGGAGGAGGAAGTGGCTATCTCACCCCGAAGAAGCGAATTCTCTTCTGTAGAAGCTAATTCTCTTCTGTCCGTTCTGTAATTTGGAAACAGGGAAATCCTGACACCTAGATCGGAGCTGTGACTGGGAATAATCTTGTTGCTTAATCATTTTATACTAGAGAAGGAAAATGGTTGGAAAATGACTACATCTCATTCTTCTGGCTTGGTGTGAGAGATCAGGGTGTGTGAAAGAGGATGCCAATGAGTGTGAGGAAGTGATGATGGTGGAGTGTAAGCCCCCTCTGCCGCCTTCTCGGGACGAAAATCATGCACCTCCCCATGCAGAGTCTCCCACGGCTTTACCCTAGCACCCCTGACCATGTGCCTCTCCGTCATCTCCCCTTTCCAAGAAGGCGTGAAACCCTCACCAATCCGCTACTAATGCTGTCAGCCAAGGCCCCCTGGTCTATGGTCCACCTCATCTCACCCCGTGGGTATGCCCCTAATTGGACCTACACTAGTGATGCGACCTTTGGATTGGAAGGGCTGTGGGGAGCAGTACTGGCACCCTTCTGCTAGGTCCTGGGTGAGAAAGGTGCGTGCCAACAAATGCATGTCCCGTTCACCTCCTCTGATTGGCATAATTGGAAGCGCCGCTTCCCCAAGCGGAGAGAAGATGAACCTGAGCGGGCAGACGCCAGCAGCTCCCTGGGCCTGACCCATGATCCCCTGTGGGCTGGGTGCCACAAGAGGCGGAACGTTTTTCTCACCTCGGAGGAGAGGGGCCTTGTGAAGCAGGGAGGTCTCCGAGCGGCTGGAGAGGCTGCGAGGGCTGGGCAGGGCCGGCCAAGCGGCCACTTTTCCCCACCAGCGTACCTGCTAGCCGGGCTGAGCTCCAGAAGCCGGTCCAGTCTCGCAGACACCCAGCAGACGCAACCGGATGTGGGGTCCCCAGGCAGAAAATACGGCCGAACCGTGCCAGGTGTTTCAAAAGGCAAGTGAGTCACCACCTGAGTTTTTACGCCCTTTGAGGAACGCGACGTGCCAGGTCCCTGACCTGGATCCTGAGGCTGAGGAGGACGGCAGGCCGCTGGATGCACTGCTCGTGGGCCAGGGTGCGGGGGATACAAGAACGGCACTGCGGGCGGCTGGAGGTGGGCCAGCTGGGCCAGACTCTCAGCCGGCTGAGGCCGCCCACTGGGTCCACGCAGACAGAGGCCAGGAAGAGGAAGGGAAAGCTGGGAGGGGGCACAGCGCACGAGCGACGGCCCTGCGAGGGACCACGGGCGCCCGGCCAAAAGTGGGGCGTGGCTGGGACCCTGTGTGGGAAAGGCCTTGAGTGAGGAGGGGATCCGGGCAGGGGCCGCTGTGCCCGCTGCGAGTGGGGGGACACTGCAGGAGGGATTGTGAGGAAAGGCTGGCGGCGGCTGTCCGGTCGGGAAAGCGGCCAAGAGCGGCGATGGGCCCCTCGGGCGGGGAGAACTGGGCTGGCAGGGCCTGGGGGCAGCGGTGAAGGCGACTCATGGTGGGAGGAGGGCGCGCTATTTTGTCCTAGACCCCAGTGCCACTCACTCTGCTGAATTCTGCCCCTCCGCCTCCAACTAACTGAACTACCCTTGTGGGAGCTGGGCACACTCCACAAAGAGCCCATTTTACCTGAATTAACCTTGGAAATCAGGGACGTACCAGAGAATCACCAGTGCCTGTGCCTGCCCAATTGTCCCACCTCCCTTGGGATGGGACTCGCTCTGTAAAATGAGAACTGAAGTGAGTCTGAGCCCAGAGACCGTAGAAGTTAATTTCCCACCCGAAAGTGCTCGGGGAGCCCAGGTGATTCTAGTGGGAGAACCCGAGACTCCAGGGATCCCGGCTCGGTGGAAGCACGAGTGAACCCCCAGTGTGGGCATCCAGGGAGGGGGAGAGGCGTGCTCTGAAGGTGCTGCAGTTACCACCTGGAAAAGGGCCCCCATCCCCCAGATCTGCCAATACCTGATGCCCTTGGAAGCCTGGCAGGGCTTGGCGATGTCTGAAGAAGTTTCTGGTGCATGGGCTGTTAGAACCCCGCCAGTCCCTGTACAACTTGCCGATGCTCCCAGTCTGCAAGCCGGGCATGAACCCCAACGCCACTTCGTACAGGATCTGCGAAGCATTGATTCTACTGTCGTTCCGTGGTTCCCAGTTGTGCCAAATCCCCACGTTATTTGAGCATGCCCCTTCAAGCCATCACTGGCATTCTGCATTCGATTTGAAGCACGTATTCTTTTCATTCCTTTAAAGCCAGAAAGCCAAATTTATTTTGCCTTTGAAGGGGAGGATCCCCAGACTGAAGAGCAGATTCAGGGCTACGCTGAAAGCCCCTCCTTTTTTGCCCCTGAACCGGCCCAAGATCTGAGCAAGCGCCCATACGCAGCGTGTGGACAGCTTGCTTGTTTCCGCCGCCACAAGGAAATGTCTCTCTTCGGAACCATTTAAGCACTAAGGGGCACAGAAGGCCCGGCTCCGTCTGGCCTGCCCAATTTATCTTGGCTACAGGCTGTCAGAAGAGGTCGAAAAGAAAGGAAACGACTTGCTGCGCGGGAGAGCCAGAGAACCGAAATCAGTGGCGGGGCTTCCTGGGTCGGCCAGCTTCTGCAGAACGCGGCTCCTGAGCGCGGACTTCTAGTGGAGCACCGTACCGTACTGAAAGGGGAGGGTTCAGAGGCCACGGCTGGGCCGGAGCTCTGCTCTGGGCGCCTTCCGAGGAGACCAGTGGCAGCCCCTGCAGTGGGTCTCGGGAGCCCTTCCTGGGAGAGAGACGGGGGGCAAACAGAATGACAGCTTGCATTGCCCCAGTGGGCAGGGCGCTCGGTGGGGGTGGGGCAACGTGCCCTCCCAGTGCCTGGCTGCCTTCGGGAGCAGGGGACTCCGCTGCAAGAGTCCCTGAGACAACAGCTCAGAGTTGGTGCACAGAAAAGGCCGGGGCCCTGGAACCCGCCTGCCCTGGGAGCGGCCCCCTTCCCAGGGCTCAGCAGCTGTGGCTTCTCTCCAAAGCCACGGGCTGCAATCTGAGCCGGGCACCTAAATTTAGCAGGCCGGAGAGCAGGCCGTGCTTGGGTGGGATCCAAACGCACATGCGAGGCGGCAGAAGCGAGCCCAGTGGGCGCGGCGGGCCGGGCGGCAGGACCGCTTGCCTGCTGGGGCACGAGGTGCAGCAGGCCGCGGGGCGGCCGAGGCAGCTGTCCTCGCCTTACCTGCAGTTACATGCCGCTGACTGCCAGGGGAAGCAGCAGCGGACGGCCCAGACACCCCCGCAGGGGCTCCTCTTCCACTAAGGTTTCTCTCGCCTCTCTGCTTTCCGAGCGGGGGTCGAGCTGGTGGGCCTGGAGCCATGCAGAGCTGACACGGCCTCTCCTGGGCGATACGTTTGGGCACAAAGGTGGGACATAACTACGGAAACAGCATATCCTGTGGCCGGTGAGCCACCTCAGGTGTCCTGAGGGCCAATTTCCCTCCCACGCAGACATCTGCGGTGCCAAAGGGGCAAAGACGGGCACGGGCTACTGCCACGCGCTCTCTTTCACTGGCAAAGCATGGCCCCTTTCTCCTTTTTTCGGAAGGAAATGCAGTGGCGTGGCAGGAGCAGGCAGCACCTGCATCGGAGCCCGTGACCTGCGCGCCTCCCACCTCATCGATGGTGCTCGATGGCCTCCAGTGTCAGCTTCCGAGGCCCCAAGGGAGAAGTCTGGAATAACCCTATCCACAAGGGTTGGCATCTGCAGGATATTCGACCTCAGGATGCCCAGGAGAGAGGAGGCGGGTGTGGGACCAGAGTGCTTATGGCTATTCCATCCCAATTCCTAGTGCACCAGTTCCGGCCACTCATCAAGTTCCTAGTCCTCATGCTAAAGGGCACCAGCTTGTTTCCAATACACCGGCAGTTCATAAACAGAAGCGAGGACAAGTGGTAACAGAGAGAGTTTATTCCTGGTGAAACGCCCACAGGGCCAAGCAGTCACATTCCTGCTCACGCAGGAGGAGGTCAGCAGACGTGGCAACGAAGCCCCTGGCCGGCTTCGGTTGTGGCGAGTGGAGATGGTGCAGCCTGAGACGGCTGGGTTCCACGGAGGACTCGTTTTTTGCCATGACTGTCTCGGCCCATGAGCACAAAGGAGAAGTGGCTGCAACAGTGAAAACTGCACTCATTCAAGACAGCCTCCTGAGGCAAAGCTGATAAAACAGTGGGCGACTGCGGACGTGCTCCGGGCAGTCCCAGACCCACTGCATGCGCATCTTGCAACTCAGTATGGTGCGTGGGGGGTGTGCAGGGGAAATATCTGCACAGCAACCCTGCTAGGTAGGGTAGGAGAGGCTGACAGCATGAGACAGGAGCCATCCATCAGGTCCCAGGATAGCAATGGTGGAGCGGGGATTTGAACCCCCTTTCACAGACACAGGCGGGCTCCTATGCCTTTCCCCAAAGATAAAATAGCTTGCCATGCGCGGGTTCACACGCGAGAGCATCCTCCTCTTCCGCCTCACAGAAACGGGGCCCTGCTGCCTTCTTCTTGGTGCTTGACGACAGGAGGCGCGACAGGGAGCGAGTCGCAGGGCTTTGTCCTGCAGCCAAGACGGCAGCGCAGGCCAGCCCGAGCCCCCCGGGCGTTCCTGGCTCGTCTGCAGTTCCCTGCAGGTGAAGCCGGCACGCGTGGAAGGCCATGCTGGAGCTGCTTGCCAAGACGAGCCACACCCCATGGGCCAAACAGCACACACGAGCACGCATTGCTAGCACAGCCCCGTGATGGGGGCCACTAGAAGTGGCTCTCTGTTCAAAAGCAAATGCTAAATGGGGGCTTCCCCAGTGATGCATCTTCATTAGCCGGTTGTGCATAATGCAATTTCGAAGCAGGAAGGACATTTGAGGGAAGCCCTGAGGGAGGCTTTGCATGTCGCGGACATTCAGGAGCAAACGGAGGAGGCAGGGGCCGCCGTGGAGCAGCAGAAACGGGCAGCAGGATGGCAAGCGCGGCCAGCAGCAGAGGCTGGCTCAGGAGAAGGCTAGGCATGGGCCTGGCGGAGGTGGGGTGGGCCCCAAAGCATCACACTGGCCCGCTGGAGAAGAGTGCTTCATGAAGTGCGGTGACTCCCAGCAGAAGGAAAGCCTCTCCCAGACGATGGAGCCAACGGGGCACCTGCCGTTCCAGCACCTTTGATTCTGGTCACCAGGGGAAATGCGCTCAGCTTTTCACCCAGCCACTGCGATGCTGATCACCGTGTCGCAGCAGCTGGTTCAGCCCAATCCTGCCGCTTGGCTCTACTTGCCGCGCTGCGCCTGCTTTCCTTGTGCCACACGCTTGTACCTCTGGGCCACCCCGTATGGGACGTGGGCTGCGATTGTGCCCAGCTCTGTGGCTCCCTCCACATGGAACATCTGATCGTCAAAGAAGATGTGTGGGCGGATCTTCTCCAGCAAGGGGCCCTTGGGAGCCCCGGCTAAAAAGAGGGCTTCATCTGTCTCCAGTCCCCAGCTCCGGAGAGTCTTTAGGGCACGGGCCCCAGAACTGGCTGCACTGCGAGCTGTGACGAGGTAGGTGCGGATCGGGCACTCCAGGCGCAGGCCTTTGGAGTAGAACTTCTTCTGAAGCTTTCCAAGAGCTTCCAAGAAGCCCTTCAGTGGCCCCTGGATGGGTAGACAGACACATCAGCCCAAACGCCCATCCCCATTCCCGTGGGGTAGGAAAGCGCCTCTCTGTGGCCCCGGCTGCCTGTGTGGCTGGTGGGTACCTCCTGCACCTCCTGCCATGCAGCTTTCCATGGCGTCATGCAGCTCAGGCAAGTGGCGCCAGCCACCACCCTGCCGCCGGGAACGTGCTTGCCGGGCCTCACGGCTTTATCTCAGCTATGGCGCCCCTGCCTTTGGCGTGCCTCCTGGGGCCAGTTGGGCATCACCCTGTCTCTCTGTTCAGCTCTGGGGCAAATCTTTGTGTTTGCCTGGCCTTTTGGAGGTGCTGCTGTGGCCCATTTCCAGGGAATTCTATGGCATTTGCTTTTCAACTGGGTTTTGCTGCTAATTTTTTTGTTCACTGAAAAGGAGCCAGTAAGTCCCTGGAGCAAAAAATGTGCAAGAGAGCAGCGACAAACGACTTGGTCCATCCCTGAGCTCAGCCAAGCAGCAGCCGCTGCGAGCTTCCTTGCAATGCCTTTCCAGAGCACCTGCACCATACCTGAGCCAGCGGCTTGTTCTCATATGTCTTCTCGTGTTCGAAGAACTTGTCCAGGCCATGAGCCTTTACAATCTGCTCAGACTCATCTGAAAAGAGCACTGCATCACCATCAAAGGCCACGCGCAGCTGGCTGTCTGAGACTTGCACGTCCTTGTTGGGGCTGAAGATGGTGGCCGCAGCGATTCCTGGTAAAGAGGGAGGACATCAGCCTGGCAGGCTTTTGTAAGGGGAAGGGCTAGGTGCCTCCTAAAGTGTTTATGGAGAGGCAGCGCCCGCGTCACACTTTTGTCACTGGAGAATGCTACCCAACACCGTCCTCACGGTAGCCCTGACTCGGACTGGCTGTCCTAGGCAACTTGATTCTGTGACCGGCACCCCTGCCCCCCACTGTCAAAACGTGCCTTCCGGGCAGCGCCCCCACACGGCTCTCTCCTCCTCGTGGCAACCAGTGGCAGGGGCACCCCACCCTCCGTTGCCAGTCCTGCCATTTTTGGCAAGCCTGGTACACGTATCAGTCTGCAATACGTTCAAGAGAAGACTGAGGGAGCAGGACAGCACTCGTCGATCTCTTGCAAGGTTCTCGCACTGCGGAAGGCCAGGATCGCTTCTCGATCATCCCAAGGTGCAGGACATGGAACAAGCTCCAGGAAGCCAGGTTCTGAGTGGACATCAGGAAGAACTTCCTGACTGTTAGGGCAGTCCGACAATGAAAGCAGTGACCTGGGCAGGTGCAGGGCTCTCCCATGCTGGAGACATTCAAGATGTACCTGGACAGCCATCTGAGAGAGATGGGTTAACTGGGAGCCCTGCACTCAGCAGGAGCTGGACCTAAAGGCTTTCTTGGCCCCTTCTGGCTCTACCGTGCTATGAAATGATAGTGGCCGGTTTGCAGGGGAAGCCGTATGAGGCGAGACTGAGGGAACTGGGTCTCTTCAGCCTGGAGAGGAGGAGACTCAGAGGGGATCTGTTGGCGAAATGCAGGTATGTGAGGGGGTGTCACACGGAGGTGGGTCATGACCTGTTCTCCCCTGCAGAGGAAGGCAGGATGCGCTCCAACGGAGCAAAGCTCAGGGAGCCAAGGTTCAATTTGGATGCCAGGAAGCACTTCCTGACAGTCAGGACCCCGAGGGTGTGGAATGGGCTTCCACGGGAGGTGGTTGAGGCCCCATCGGTGAGGGTGTTCAAGGACAGGCTGGACGTGCACATGGGGGGCATGTCCTGAGCAGAGCCGGCTGGAGCCGGGGGTCAGGCTAAATGGCCTGGGAGGCCCCTTTGGACTTGCTCTGTTTCCATGTTTATATGTTTCTAAATGCTATGAAATGGTCTATGAAAACCAGTCCACTTTGCCTTCACAAACTACAGCAGCAGTGCTGGGTCTCCAAGATTACAATATCCAGGTACCCTGGTGAAATAAGACTTGACAGATTTTAGCATGTCTGTTTCCCCCGCCAGAGAGACAATCGCACACATGGCTGTACTCACGGCCAGAAGTTCCCGCTCCCTTCCTGGTGAAAGGATACCCTGCCAGTGCCACCCAGAGGACAACCACCAGCTGCACTCACCCGCTTCTATAGCCTCACTCACTTTCTCGCAGTCAGATGACAGGTACAGATTGGTGTGGTAGGCCTTCAGGTAGCCGATGGGGCTGTTCCCACCTGTCATGCAAAACCTTTCGATGAACAGATCTGGAAGAGAGAAGAGCCACTTGTCGGAGTGCAGGGGAGGCAGCCCTCGGGAGGAACAGCTGGCCGGGGGAATGCCACCCCTGGCCTGCACATGGCCAGCTTTCTTGGGAGCTTCCTGATGGAAGTCTGTGTGCGATGGCTCCACCATTTTCTCTGCAACAGAGGCTTTTGGAAGAAAGATGATGTGGCAAGTGCTACAAATGGAAGGAAATGTTGGGACCCCCGTTCCTCACCCTCATTCTGTGCCTGAGGCAGAGCAGCTGCAGGATAAAAGCGTCACTTGGATGTCCCCACAGTTCTTGCATTGTTATTCCCAGGGAATCAAGCTGGCTGCTCTTAAAGGGAGCACACAAACGGCCTTGTTTTGTGTCTTGGAAAACACACTTCCACGAGAGTGCACGAAATGCCGTTAGGCTCCTGCAAAATGGCAGGCCCTGCTTGTCACTGAAGGCAGAGGTCTGCCCTAGCACGAGCAGCAAGCGTCCTGCTCGAGCCCCCCTCTCCTCCCTACTGCCAGTGCTCCTAGGAAGGCAGTTAGCCAAGCTCTGGCCATGGCCGGCCAAGTTTCTAGCTTGCTTCCCCTCCCCTTCCCAAGTTCCAGGCATGTGGGGGCAGGAGACCGATTGGCCCTTGAAGATGTAAACAGGAAGGAACCCTGGACAAGTGCCCAACTAAGTCAAGTCCTTAAAAATGCTCAATAGCAGAGAATAAGAAGCACCTGCACCAGAGTTCTGGCCTAACTGGGCACCAACCCAGCAGCAAACCTGCATTGTGAACCCGAAGCCCTTGGTGGTTTCTGAGGTGGTTGAAAGGGGCAAGAAACAGGCCACTTGAAAGGGCAGCCTGCCAGTTTTATGCTGCTTGGCTGGAAGAGAGTGCAATGGGCAGCATCCCCGACCTGGCCGAAGCACCCTGGGCAAGGCAGGTGGGAAGAGAGACTTCGGTGCCAGTGTGTTCCCTGGGGAGGCAGAAGCGGCTCCCTGTTCGCTTGCCCCGCGTGCTGGCTGTCCGCACTGGGAGAGCCCCCGAGGGCCCTGGGTACGCAGAACGCAGGCCACGGGGGGCTGACAGGGCGTGGGAGGAAGCCCCACCGGCCCCAGCACCATTGCTGGGCTAAGCGCTCTTGGGGAGGGGAGGCCAGGGCAGGTGCTGCTGGCCCGTCCGTTCCTGGAGAGCTCCCGGCAAGACTTCAGCCGCTGCCCGCAACTCACTGTAGTGGTTGATGGTGTTGATCAGGCGAACTCCCACTTGGGCGTGGTTGTTGGTCATGAGGACGATGTCGAAGAGCTCCTCGCTGTCTGGGTAGAGCTCCCGCAGCTGGGCGTTGACAGCTTCCAGGGCCTAAAGGGTCAAAGGCGGCAGAGCAGTCTGTCCGCGAATGCGAGACACTCCTCCCTGCAGGCGCCGAGAGCCCACAGCCGGGCCAGTCGCTTCCAGGTTCTTGCTATGGAAGGCATGGAAAAGGGCAAGAACAGTCCTGACTGAGACTGCCCCTGGGGGCTGGGGGCCCATCTGCCTCAGGACGGCCTCCTTTGATTGATTCACGGGGCCTGGGGCCTTTCCCCCACCAGCTGGCCCCTGGATCCTCTCAGCAGGACCCCCAGGATTGGCCCTGCGGGGAGCCTGCCGTGTCAAGCGCAAGCCCCGTTGAGCCGTGGGCCCTTCCCAGGCTCTTCAGTGTCCAAAGGGACCTTCCCACAGCTTTTCATTGGCTTATTAACGCAGTGCATTTCATTTATTTCAGAATGATCAGCCACCTTTTCAGAACAGGGAGAGTAACATGCCGGGCAACATCAGTCTCGGACACAAGGGGCGACAAGGAGCTGCCCGGCGGGGCCGGCCTCGCTCTGCCTGCTTGGCTGCGCCGCGCTGGGGTGGCCGGGCAGGGAGGCCCTGGGGCTGCTGGCCACGGCCGCAGCCACTCTGTTCTCCTGAGGCCCGCAGCCGACACGCAGCGCGGCTCTGTTGGCACGGGGCCCAGCGCGGAGGGCCAGCAGCTGCCCTCCTGCCACACCCGCAGCCTCCGGGAAAGCTTCCCGGCCCCTGCTGCTGGCCTCCGACCTGGCCCTGGGCGAGGCGAGCGGCAGGGAAGCACCAGGGGAGGCGCCGTCCCCCAGTGGCGGCCCCCCACTTGGTGCGCTCCCGTTTCTGAGAAGGTCTGGCAAGGGCGTTGCCGGGGCACTGGCGCCTGCGGTGCCGCTGCCAAGCTCAGCACAGGGCGACTGCCCGGGAGGGAGAAATGGCTGGCTGGGCACAGACACGCATCCTCCCCCAAGAGCCTACCTCTGTCCTTGTACAATTTGCGAGGCATGTGCCGCAGCTCAGCGTGTTTCCGGGAGAGGCTTGGAGTGCACCTTCCCCACTCATGTGCTGAATTTAATGGGGCCCAAACGCCGGCCTCTTCTGGTCAGCCCTCTGTGTTTTCACACCTCCTCTTGGTTTTTTGTCTTACCTTAGGCAATCCTTTAAGGAGGAAGAACTGCCAAACACCTTCTAACTGGTAGAACTAGGAGGGGCTGCACAGCCCCAGACTGGAACCCCCCGCCCCCGGACAGTTTGAGTGGGTCAGAGAACCGCCACAAGCGCTGCTTTACTGGCAAGTGGCAACCAGTGGCTGCGTTTTCCCAGGAGGGAAAGGCCTGAGGCTGGCGTCTGAAGGTGGAGAAAGAACAGTGACAGGACGGGACCTTGACGAAGGGGAAGGCGGCTCCAGGCAGGAAGGGCTCGTTCTCGTGGTCGAGCTGGTACTTCACGTAGGCCTCCACTCCCTGCTCGCTGTAAATCTTCTCCTCCTCTTCCATGCGGAACAGGGCACGGGATGAGACAGCGATGGTGATGGCGTTTTGCGGTTTGGGCTGCACAAGAGGAAGCACAGGAGAGAAAGAAGCGGCTGTTATCTGTGACTGTGAAGGGCCCAAGGCAGCTAAAGGGAGCCTCCTCGAACCTCCGAACGGCTGGTGCCTCTAGCTGAATGGCGTAGAGCACTGGCCCTCAGCCTCTCGGGCCGCATGGAGCATCCCTGGGCTGCCCCTGCTGGACACGTGAGGCCTTCATATGGCCTCAGTGTGTGCTAATTAGGGATAAGCACAAACCCCTAAACATATGCAGTATCTTGACGTTATTGACACAAAAAATCAGAACAGCTAAAGAAAACGATGTTTTGCGGCTCCCAGTGTTTTCTTTTCTGTGGGAAACGGGCCCAAACGGGTCCTTGAGTGTCAAGGGCTGCCGGCCCCTGGGCTGGGCTGAACCCTGTTTGCTTGACTGTGCAGCTGTGGGCATCCTAACAGCACTGTCCAGAAAGCCAAATATCAGGAATTATATTTATAGGGAGACTGGCTGCGGAAGCAGATTGTGACTTCTGGGCCTCGTATCAGCGGCTGAAGCTCTGCTTCCCTCTTCATGATGAGCTGCACCAGCAAAATTCCCATATCTCAGTGTGCAATTTTATGAGTCGCATTTCTTTCTTTGGTTGTCACCCAATCTTTTGCCCAGGAAAGTGTCTAAAGTGGCATGCAATGAAACAATAAAATCTAGCCATGTCATGGCTGCTTCTACCTCCCTCAGACACAAAGCATTGGTCCCAGACCTTCTGGTCCCAGGCCATGTGAGGCTTTTGACGTAGGAGGAGTACGAAAAGTCAGCTTCTTCGGCAGAATAAAGGAATGAAGAAGCCCAGAGGAACCTCAGCTGCGAGATCAAAGAGAGTTCTGCAACACACCAAGAAATGAGCAAGCACTTCTTCCAGGATGGGAGTTACTAGACTGGATCAGAAGTTACAAACCAGTGCAGTATCATTTCCCATAATTTCAAAAAGGTATGCTATGAGACATTACCGGATCATTCATGGTGGTCAGTTATTAACCAGTTTGGGGACTCCTTTCCAAATGAAAATCTGGATACTTAACTGTAGTTGTTTTGTGAGTTACTAATTAGCTAAAATATTATTTCAGACACTCTTGAGACGGAGCTGTGTACCCGCTTCTTTTATGGCCCTCATGTGAAGTGTTCCTCCCTGTCCCCTTTTCTTTCGGGGCCTCAGGTAGCAGCCGCCAGGACCAGAGGAGAGGGCTGTGTGCCGCTTGCAGGTGCAGCAGCGGATGCAGTCCATCCGCAATGCTCAAGCAAGCCTGAGCTGTCTGTGCGGGCGGCTTTTGGCCCCGCAGCAGCGGGTCTTGTTCCTCGGTTCCGCAAGCCAAGGTCTCAGCCTGGCCCCGGCAGGCTCTTCTTGGGAGCGGCGCCGAGCTGGGGGGGACTAGGGAGGCGCCCTCTCCTTTGTGCGTCAGGCAGCGTCCCCCCTTTTTGACATGTGTTCATACTTAATGTTCTCCCTCCTGGCTGCTGCATGGACGCTTTTCACATCATCATCATCATCATCATCATCATCATCATCATCATCATTATTATTATTATAGCATTTCTATGCCGCCCCTTGCCGAAACCTCGGGGCGGCTTACAACATGATAAAATACATTGAAATACAATAGTACATAATAAATTACCATTAAATATAAAAATACAAAGAATACATTGATTTACAAAAATAAAATTAAAATTATCAGTATAAAATAAAAATATAGGAGGAGAAAGAGAAGGAAGAAGTTGCCCTGGCCAGATCATATGTTTTAACAATTGAAATGATGTTTAAATAAAAAGGTCTTTACCTGGCGCCGAAAAACCAGTAACGACGGTGCCAGGCGGACCTCTTTGGGGAGTGAATTCCATAGGTTGGGCGCCACCGCAGAGAAAGCCCTCCTCCGGGTACTTACTCTCCTAATTTCTTTCATGGAGGGTTCCCGGAGAAGGGACTCTCCCACAGATCTCAAAGGGCAGTCGGGCATATACGGACGTAAGCGCTCGTTCAGGTAGCCAGGACCCAAGCCGTTTAGGGCTTTATAGGTCATAATCAACACCTTGACTTGGGCCCGGGCTTCAATGGGAAGCCAGTGAAGCTGACGGAGGACTGGAGTCATGTGAGCATAACGCCCCGTCCCCGTCAGCAACCTGGCAGCTCTATTTTGCACCAATTGAAGTGCAAAAACATCATTCTGGTTTGTAGCTCTTTTTTCTGACCGATTTTGCCTGCGCTTCCTGTGTGCACCTGCGTCTGCCCTAATACCGGTTCTTTGGTTGTCGCAAGCTACCTTGGCAGTTCTCGTAGCTGAAAGAGGATACATTTTGAAAAAGGAAAATAGCTTTCTCTGCCTCTGGCTGGCAAATGATTTGGTTGGCAAGCAGGAGTGCGAATGTGCGAACCACTGTGTGTGGCGTGTTGCTGCTGGGAACAATCCCCTCCTGTGCTTTGCTGGCTCAGTGAGCAAATACTGGGCTAATCCAGGGTCAATTAACTCATCCCTGGCCGGCTGTTATGCAATACACTTTGCTGCTGGCCTTAGAAAAGCGATTTCCCGGCTCCCTGATCACAGGTTGATGCACGACTGGCAAATAACCAAACTCAACCAAACAACGAGGCCCAAATTAGCTGTGGGTTGGCCCATCCTGTGCAGCCCAGACTGTCCAGATCTGGCCACCTGCAGCAACCTATGCATGGGCCAAGCAGGGGATGCTTAATCAAAGGGACAGTGGCCCATGTGCCACAGGCAGTCTGGCAAATCACGGGTCACTGAATTAATCCACTCATGAGGTGATGCGCTCACGTGCAGTCTCGCTTGCTGCTGCTGAAGTGCTGGTTCTGTCCTTCCTCTGTTGGAGCCCTGAGGGAAGGAGGCACCCCGGAAGCAGGGGGAGTCCTTGGTTCATTGCAGCAATGTGACGCGTGTGCCACCCAAGGCCCTGCTACATGCAAGCTCTCCCCTTGCGCGCGCACATCATCTGCTGAAGTTATGGGCATTTGCTGGCTAAATAATAACCATGCTTTGCTAGAACGCAAGGGACTCCCTGCATTAATGCAGGAAGCAATGTTCCCTTCCGCATCATTCTCTTGGTGGCGGTTCCCCCCATTAAGACAGGGAAACTTTCTCAGGACCTGAGCTGTGACCTGGCATGCAGGCAACCTTCAGCTGTTGCAAGGACACCGGCCACGGTGTGCCTCTGTTGATCCTCCTGGCGGCAGTCAAGGCTGGCCGGGGTCAGGAGAACACCAAAGGGATGCCCTGCTCAGGAAAGCAGCCCATGGTGGGCAGGGAGGGGAGGGGAGGGAAGGGTCCGGCCCAATTCATGCAATATGGATGGTTCGGATATGGATGGTGCTGGAAAATGTCAGCTCTTTCCATGCTAGAAAATCTCTTCCTCTCTTCCTCAACTGGAATGAGGAATTAAGTTTAGTAGGCAAATTATGGGAACATGGGGGAGGGCAATTTGGTGGCTTCCTCTGGGCTGGCCCCATTGTGTATCGATGCCTTTGGGTTCTTTTTCTAGGCGGAGGACTTGGCACTTGTCCTTCTTGAATCTCGTTCTGTTGCTTTCAACCCAGTATTCAAATGTATCAAGATCACCCTGGATCTTCATTCTGTCTTCTGAGGTGTTTGCTATTCCACCCAGTTTTGTATCATCTGCAAATTTGATTCTCTTTCCTTGTGCTTCCTCATCTAAATCATTAATAAAGATGTTGAGTAAATGAGCTTAGTTTGGCAATTGAAGGACCTGCATGGCTTGTCTGCAGAAAGCAGAGTCATCAGGATGGAGAATCCCTCGTCAGTGCATCCTGTGAGGCACCCCTTAAACCAGGAGGGACCCCCATGTGTGCATCTGCCCACTCATCCATCCAGGATTTGCAGCAGTAAATGTGTAGCCCTGTGGACAGCAAAGGAACTCGCAGAAGGGAAAGGGAGTCCAGAGAGGAGGAGGCTCTGAGCCAGAGAAAAGGGATGGCGCGCAGGAGAACAGCAGCCAGAAGGGCAGAAGGTGGGGCAGCTGCTTAGAATGCCGCCTTCACACTTTGTCTCCGGTTTGCCTCACTAGAAAAGCACCTAGAACATTAGGGCATGTTTTAAAAAGAAAGCTGGAAAAGTGGGGCAGGTGCCAGAAGTGGCCCTGTCCTCCCTGCTCCACACTGGGGGAAGGTGGCCAGGGACAGAGTTGCCAGCTGGGCCACAATCCAGTCCAGCTGCTCCTGCACTTCGTGGAGAAAGAGCATGAGCATCTGCTGATGGTGCAGGCGATGCTGCCGTTGCGGAGGAAGGGGAGATGCATGGCAGTACCCCGGCAACCCCAAAAGGTGGCCAGTGATGGAGCCAAAGGGACAACCCTCTGGCTGCTGTTTAGGCCCCCTTGGCAATGCTGTCCAGTGGGAGATTTTCTCCCACAAAGGACCACAAACATCAAACTGTGATGCACGAGACAAAGGCTGCCTCCTGCCTCTTAGTTTGGACTGAAAGGCAGTGGAGTGGGGAGCAAATCCAGCTCTACCAGGTTCACTCCACAGCATTCTGTTGCCAGAGCCTGCAAGGAGTTGGCTGGTTTCAGACTAAAGATTCTGAGCTCCTGGGAAAAATCAGGGACTTCTTCACTTTGGGGAGGCCAACTAGCCACTCTGGTGTAGTGGCTAAGAGTGCCGGGCTGAAGACCCAGGGGATGCGGGATCTAGTCCTCCCTCAGCCATGAGCCGTGAAGCTCACCGGGTGACTTTGGTCCAGTCACAGATTTTCAGCCAGGTCTACCTCACAGGGATGCTGTTGTGAGGATAAGACTGAGAGGAGGAGGGGGAGAATTATGGAGGATGACTTGAGTTCCTTGAAAGGAAAAAGGTGGCATATACATACAATCCCTTTCATGGATCACTGCCTTGTCGAGGCAAAGGGGCTTGCATAGCTCGATGAAGCTGTGAGCTCTGCCGTGCAGGGCCACCCAAGACAGACAGGTCATAGCAGAGAGCTCTGACAAAAGCTGATCCACT